TTACCAAGGTTACGCAGTGCCCCAACATGATGGAGCTCCTCACCACGGGACGAGTGAGATTCTACAACACCGGCCACAACACCAAGATGAAGCGACTGCCACCGCAGGCAGTGATCTCCGAGGAGGACCTGCTAGAGGGCGACGACACCATCATTAGGAACACCAACAAGGCCATAAAGGAGCTCCATGCACACTTTGCCTGAATATGCGCAGCGACAGCAGTGGGTTTCGGCACAAGCAAATCTACTGCACGAATGGCCTCGATGGTCGGCCCTCGAAGCGGAGGACACAGGGAATCGATTGATGCACTACTTCACGATGTGATCACAATCACCCTCATCTTGGAATGGTCCAGACAATCCGTCTGGGCATGGTTGCGACGAAGCCCTACTTTGCTGGCTAGAACAACGAGCGCACCACCTACCCTTATGTGATCGTTTGCTTAGATTGTCTCAAATCGTCTCAGACCATCTTCAGACAATCAATTTGGTGAGTCCGTATAGTCCGTATCTCAACTGAAAAGAACAGATTACCTGAAGCCGTTTGTCCGTCTGGCGTCTCAGACCAGCTGATGGTATCACAAAGCGTCTCAGTCTCACACCGCCGCAGGTAATCTTATCACATGTGTTGATACGGTCTGAGACGATTTGAGACAATCTAATCAAATGATCACATCAGGTGGTGGACCTGATGCAGTCTGAACTTAGACTCTCGAATTGATCTCATCAAATAGTCTGCGGTGGTCTGAGACTGAGACGCTTTGTGATACCATCAGACGGTCTGAGATGCCAGACAGACCGAGAGACCGTTTCAGATAATAAGGTGGTCTGAGATGGACTCACATGTGTTGATACGGACTCACCAAATGGTCTCAGATTGCCTGAAGATGGTCTGAGACGATTTTGGACCATCTCATCAAATGATGGTAGACCTCATGCAGTTTGAACTGGACTTAGACTCTCGAATTGATCTCATCAAATGGTGTGCGGTGGTCTGAGACTGAGACGCTTTGTGATACCATCAGATGGTCTGAGACGCCAGACAGACCGAGAGACAGTTTCAGGTAATCATAATCTTATAAGATGGTCTGAGATGGACTCACATGTGTTGATATGGACTCACCAAATTGTCTCACATTGTTTGAATATGATCTGAGACGATTTTAGACCATCTAATCAAACGATCACATCAGGTGGTTGACCTGTACCACCAGATAATCTCAGATGCGAGACAGACCGAGAGACGGTTTCAGGTAATCTTATCACATGTGTTGATACGGACTCACATGTGTTGATACGGACTCACAAATTGTCTCAGATTGCCTGAAGATGGTCTGAGACGATTTGAGACAATCTAATCAAATGATCACATCATATAAAAGACCTGATGCAGTTTGAACCGGACTTAGACTCGTGAATTGATCTCATCAAATGGTCTGAAACCGTCGCTCGGTCTGTCTCGCATCTGAGACCATCTGATGGTATCACAAAGCGTCTCAGTCTCAAACCACCGCAGACCATTTGATGAGATCAATTCGAGCAGGCTAAGTCCGGGTCAAACTGTATCAGGTCTACCACCTGATGTGATCATTTGATTAGATTGCCTCAAATCGTTTTAGACCATCTTCAGACGATCTGAGACAATTTGGTGAGTCCGCATCAAAACATGTCAGTCCAGCTCAGACCATGTGAGAAGATTACCTGAAACCGTCTCTCGGTCTGTCTCGCATCTCAGACCATCTGATGGTATCACTTGACACCTTTGACCATCCCGTATCCTCTTCGGGGCTTCGTAAGTTCCGAGGTTCGCCAAGACGGTGGCCATCGCTTTGGGAATCGCGGACCAGCTGGAGCTGCCGGCCGTGCAGCTCTTCGGCCCAGTGCTGGCCATGCTGCTTGGGAAGGCCCGTGCCTGGGAGGTTCTCAGGGATAGGGAAGGACTAAGAGTTCTTAGGCGGCAAGCCAACGCGGCGAGGGAGACACGTGAAAGAGCTGGGACCGATCAGAGAGACAAAAGTAGGAGGAGCCCAACTAGGAAGCTGACAGCTCCCGTTCATTCAGTGATTGGATGATGATACTGTAGCCTTAGCGTTTTAAATCAGCAATAATTATTGGCTTTGGAAGCTGTTGAGAAGCTTTCAGGACCTGCAACACTGGGTGGCACCCACCATCGGCACAGTCATCAAGGTCGGTGCCGTGGTGATCGCCTCCTACATCCAAGCAGTCATTAGCGCCTTCTACTCGGGCCTCCGTGGTGGACGCCTCTTTGGTGAAGCGCTCCTTGCAATGACAAAGAGCAGATGCGGTAAGTGGAAAGACTGGAAAGAAGTGGTGTATTGCTCGGTTTTCAGCAAACCTCTGAATTTAGCTGCACACATGGAGAGCAGTATAGCCGGCTACAGTTTATCGACTTGGTCCCGCGTGCTTCCACCCCCGATCATTTGCTCTTGAGCCTTCAACCAAGTCCTCCGCTTGCCTCACCTTCATCACTGCAACACTTTTTTTTGAGTCACGCACTGTTTGGCCGAAGGCGTGGCATGCTCATGTTGCTGGCGTCGCATGATTTTTTTCGCTGCAATGGGCTAAGCCTTGTAAACTTCAGACTTCTCTGAAGGGCATTCCATTGCTTTGGTTGCTGCGGGGGCAACCTGCGTTTGGGCATCACCTAAGGTTGCGTGGGTTTTCCAACTTGGTGTTGTTGAATGGCTGTGCAGGGACTCGTTTCGGCTTGTTCGCTTCTTATCGTTGGCTTTACAGCAGATCATGCTGGACGTAGTTTGGTGAGTTATGTCGATCGGCTGATGTGCTTGCAGGTCTTGCATCGCCGCTCATTGTCATGCGGGGTGTTTGGTCGCATCGTTTGCAGCGCGTTGCCGTGGGCCATCTTGGTGTTTCAAGATGTGCGATGCGGGCTGTCAAGCTCCGCATTCCACTGACTGACTGGTATCTTTTGTCTCTTTGGCAACCGCTATGGCCAAGGTTCATGTATGGCGTGATCCCATATGTGAGTGCAGAGCTCGGAAAGCTACTGGGGTAATTGAACGCATATAGGGTCCGTCGCAGGCCCGTATTTGCCGTCGTGCCTCAACATCCCGGCGGACTTCAACCCGGACGAGCGAGAAGCCAAATGCAGGAATTCCATCATTCGCACAATTCAGAGTCGACCCTTTGTTTCAGTGAGGGGTTAGGGATTCAATGATGCTTCTGACCCAGGTCTTACATTGATGAGATTGTGGGCTTCCCGCTTGCTGCTGTTTGTCGGTTGCAATTTTGCGCATGGCCCAAGAGACATGCACGCCATCATTTGGACACCAGACGCATTTGAGACAGTCTGAGTCACTGAGGCTGGCTTCTACTGGCAGATCACCCACGGCTTTGCGCTGACGTTCCCCTACAGCATCATCATGTTCCCATGCACTGCAGTGGAGTGGATCATCCGCTGGCACGTCTACACCTGAGCACTTGATGCGAATGAGGACGCGAAGAGTCCCGTTTTGGCAGACTTCCCCGTGGCAAAGCCTTGTGTCACGGGTGCTGTCCCGCAGACGCATCTACAGTCACTGGAAGCAATACGCTTCACCACTTGTCACGAAAGCTAGCTTCGAGAGCTCTCTGCTTCAGAAAGTTATAGTTTCTGCAAGGATCCTACTAAGTGATCCTTCCCCGCCCCGAAGGTTGTCTTCCTTTCTTGCCCGCCCCCCTGAGTTTGATTTGCAGCTGTTTGGATGTTTGTGTTCTTGGCTGTCTCCACGTTTCTACGCCGTCCCCTGCATCTTTCTCCGAGCAATTGGCACAAATTCCCTCCTTCTTGCTCTGAGCACACCTTTGGCAGTGGGCTCATTTGCTCTGAGCACACCTTTGGCAGTGGGCTCATCGCGTTTCTTGCTCACGCATCACAACCCGCACTAGAGAACCTGCCATTCTTTCGCAGCCCATGGCGTTCCATGTTTCCTCGCACAGTCTGCCATTCAAAAAGGCTCGTCCAGAATGTCGCAGCTCCTTAAGTCTGTGCAGAATGGTCCAAGCGCTCATTCAAAGCTCGTATGCGAAACCCTTCCCAGGAGCCAGCACTGGCCTGACGATGCGCTCACAGCCCAATTTCTGTCAACAAAGGTTTTCCATTAAATCACCAATGTGTGGTGTCCAACGAAGTCAGACGTCCTGAATGTTTCCCTCAAAGGCCTACGAAGTGGTAAAATGACGCATCAGGATTTTTGGGCCGACAAGACAAGAGCAGCCCATTCCGAAAGTAGAGACCCTCATGCGAACGCATGGGCACGCAGTCGTCGGTTCGTGTTGCAGCAGTCTTAATTGTTTGAGTGTCTGAACGCACCCCGCACCTCATGCTGAGTACTCACTTCAGCAGATATCCTATCGCTCAATGATTGCTCGCCCTCACTAATTCCATGCCGCAACCTGTCGAGGATTAATTGCACCTACGGAATAGTCTGCCTCCACTTCTCACACGAACTCACATGAACACGCGAATAGCTTTCTGCAGGCTTACCTCTCAAGGTGCCACACGGTCCAATTATGGCTTTGATTAACACCATCATGAAAGGAAGGCCCTATTTGGAGCCAGCTTCGGGTATTGAGTGAAGCTTGCGTGTTGCTTGTTGCATGGACAGATAATGTTATTGAATGCTTGCTGCTATGCTGCTATGCTGACCTATCAGGAGTGGTCGGTGTTTCCAGTTTGCAGGGCTCGAGTGTTGATAGTCTGTACCTTTTCCAAACCTCTGTAAGAGAAGCCTTTGCTAGCTCTCGTTCGCCTGTGTATCTCGTTTGAAGTGTCAACATTGGCGCGAAAGGCGGCTTCCGGGGCAAAGCCTTGAGCTGTCACGCGAACTCTTTTGACAGCTGCAATGTCTTTTGGCCTTCGATGCACTGGGAGCAAACGCTTCGGACTTCGTCAATACATTGGCACGACAGAAACGGCCGTTATTGCACTGGCAGCGTGCCCTGCGGGATCCTGGATATCGGTGAACCCTTGCTTGTCAGGGTATCAACTTTGTCGCATGATGGCATCATCCAAGGACATGGCTTGCTGGTGTGCCACTTTGCTTTTGCTTTGGCTTTGCTTTCGCTTTTAGTGTTGCTTTCGCTTTTAGTGTTGCTTTGGCTTTTGTTTTGCTTTCGCTTCGCTTTGCTAGCGCTTTGCTTTGCTTTTGCTTTCGCTTTGGCTTTCCTTTCGCTTTTGAATTTGCTTTTGCTTTCCTTTTCCTTTCGCTTTTGCTTTTGCTTTTGCTTTAGCTTTTGCTTTCCTTTCGCTTTTGCTGTCCTTTCGCTTTTGCTTTTTCTTTTGCTTTTGAATTTGCTTTTGCTTTCCTTTTGCTTTGGCTTTTCTTTTGCTTTTGCGTGCCTTTGCTTTGGCTTGCCTTTGCTTTCGCTTATGCTTGTGCTTTGCTTATGCTTGTGCCTGCTTGTGCGTTGCTTTGCATTGCTTTGGCATTCACTTCTGCTTTTGCGTTGCCTTTGCTTTTGCTTTGCCTTTGCTTTCGCTTATACTTTTGCATTGCTTTTGCTTTTGCAGTGCTTCCCTTTTGCTATTGCTTTGCTTTGCCTTAGCTGTTGAGGTTTCTTTGCTGTTGCAAATGCTTTCACTTTTGCATTGCCTTTGCTTTCGCTTTCGCTTCTGCTTTGCCTGTCTTTGCCTTTGCCTTCGCTTTTCGTGTTGCTTTCGCTTTTGCTGTTGCTTGGCCTTTGCTTTTTCTCTGCCTTTGCAATTGTCTTTGCTTTTGCTTTGCCTTTTAATTTGCTTTGCTTTTGCTTTGCTTCTTCTGCCTGTTTCAGGACGTGGCGGACACCATTGCTGAAGAGCTCGCTAAAGACTCGAGGACCTGGCCTTTTGCACAAGCTCTTGCGGGCACTTGAGCGTGCGGGTCTGAGAGGGGGGATCAGGCCGGATGCTGTGGCAGCCGCGGCATACGAGGCGATTTGGAGTTGGTGCCCCAGGTCGAGGGTCGAGACGGGCAGACAATTGGTCCGCCTAGGTCCTCAGAACCAAGCACAGAGAGACTTCGCTGTGTTTGGTGGAGAGCCATGCACTTGAAACAGCAAGTCAGGGCGGAGGGACACATTGCATCTCAGGTTTCTCATGGAACTGGATGTGGCGGGCCTGCGCGGCTGGTTCCAGGGCTTCTTTAACTTGCCCGAGGACGCTGTGTGTGTGTGTGTCTTGGCTGGGGCAGAGCCTGGCTCGTGCAGGATCTCTGGGCTGGATTCCTCGCGGGCTGGTGGGACTTTCAGCCTTGCACCTTCGCGAATCCTTTCAGCCTTGCTTGTGAGGCCATCCCTGCCCGGAAACAGCAACCATGAGCCCGCGCCCACGTAAGAGTAAGCAAGAAGAGTCGAAGAGTTGCTTAGGCTTGTTTCAGGCTTGTTTCAGGCTTGCTTGGGCGGGTGCTCTGCCTCAGGTCCTGGTTCGCCCGGCTCACGCGGGCTGCTTAAGCTCTAGCCCCGTCACAGGTTCGGCCTTCCTCCTAGGTTCGGGCTCCAGCTGGTCACGAAGATCCCACCCCCCGTAGCCAGCGCCCCATGCCTCGACGTCACTGCGATCCGCGCTTGCAGGGGTTTCAGTTCAATATGTTCAATCAAGATGACCCTTCCTTCGTTCCGCTTTCATCTTCCATGCCTCTTCTCAAATGTTTCACCCTCGAAATTTACTTTGCGCTTTGCTCATTGCTAGGTGTTGAGGCTAATGGCTGCCATTGGCCGCTTCTCTCTGACCTATGGCCGGCGAGCTCAGAGCCAGATGTCTGTTCCGCAAAGCTTCTCGACAGCCCGCCCATGCTCTTTGGCTGGGTTTCTGCCCTCCATAAAGAATTAAAGTCCTGACAAGTTCTTCCGAACAGTTGAGTCTCGCGGCTTTCACACGACCGTCCGCGCCCGTTAGGCGTGTCTTTGATCCGTTCCGTGACGCCCCTCTTCGGCTCTCCACCATCCTATGAGCGAAGCTCAGCGGGCGAGGATGGCCTCGGATCGACAGATCTCAAGTCTCAATTGGGTTTTGAACTGACTTGACATGTTTTGCGTTTTTCTGCAGGGGTCAAAACGCTGCAATCGCTTTGGACCGGTTCAAGTTTGAAGGCATACACGCCGCCAGTGCCCAAAGAGGAGGTGCGACAGGCAGAGATTGCAACGTCGGGCTGTGAAACCGTGCTCAGATTGGAGATGTCGCCGCCAAGAGGGAGGCGATGGAAATGATGAAAGGACTTGCTCTTGGCCTGACTGAGCATGTGGTGCAGATCACGCTGCCTGCCCAAGGTTCAGCGCCCAAAATTGAGGCACAGGCTGTTGCCGAAAAGGCAAAGGGCAAGCAGCCAGCATGAGCTGGGCCGCTTGCCTTCCAGCCGCCATTTCTTCAATTCTTTAAGCCGAGCTTACCAGCAGGCGATGATCATTTGAATTCTCACCTCTGACGCTTCGGATAGCAATGGGATTGGGCGCGCTGGTGCAACTGGCACAGCGGACGTTGGGAGAGAGTACTTTCCTTTGGCCAGGATTGGGCGGTGCCCGTGCAACGCATGGAGTCCCGCATCCGACGCCTGCAGGCAGACGGGAGTCTACATTTGTTGTAACATAGGCAGACGAACTGTTGCCTGGTATTTACACGATGTGTGAGCCACGCATGGGGACTGCTCAGAGCTGTCTTCGAGAGAGGCCTGTGTGTGTGCAAGCCAGGTCCTTAGCGAAGAGGAGCTCAGGTCATTGTTGCAATGCTTGGATGACGCAGGCTGGTCAAGCGAAAATCGTTGAGCCTGTTGATCTGCTCAGTACGAGTTTTGTGTGGAGGCCTTGGGCGTGTGTCCTACCGCAGCTTCCGCACAGCAGTGGCCGAGTTCCTGGCAAAAAGGACCCTGAGACTGCGCGGCTTCAGATGTACGGAGTTTTACTTGAGCGGCGTATCTTTAGCCCAAACTCGCAGTCGGGACTTTCACTCTGCCCTGTCGCCTGAAGAGTTCAATGCCATCCTCTACCGGATCAAGGCGCATTTGCTTTGATTGTCTGGTCATGGCTAATACGTTGGTTCGCTGGCAGGGTTTCACTTTGGGCGTACACGGGCTTGCTGCTAGTTCTGAAAGTCTTCGTGCTTCGCCGAAGCTCCACCAGTCTTTGCGCTCGACGTCAGGCGCGGGTGAAAGAAAACGGGCTCACCGTAGGGCAGGCTCCGGTTGGTGTCACATTGGTGTCACATTGGTGTCACATTGGTGTCACATTGGTGTCACATTGGTGTCACAGGTTCTCACCGGTGTTGTTCAGTCGAGGCCTTGCGAGAGGCAGACGGGAGAAGTGCGTTGCCTGGCGCAGAGTTCATGCAGAGCGCTGGCCTCAAGGAAGCCTTAAAGCAAAGGGAGGAAGATGAAAGAAGTCACAGATTGATTGAAGGCCTTCCCTGTGTCCATGAGGTTTGCGTGGCTTGCGGCTTGGCCTATCGAACAAGGAGGTAGCGCAGATCTTCAACTCGTTGAGCGCTGACTCCTTCCGCATGGCGGGCTCGCACCTCACGTCGCGTGCATGCCAACTCCAATCATTCTGAGAGTCGGAGAGTCGTTTCGAGTCACTTGGAATGTGTTGAGACGTTTTCAGTTTGAGGCACAGCGGCGCCAAACCCCGTACATGACGGTCAAGCCGTCACCTCGGCCGGAGGTCTGACCGCCTTGAAGTCTCACCACTGAGGTCTCCATTGCTTTGTTTGACACCTTAGTGGAGAACTGTAGCAATGAAAGTCTCAAGGCGACACCTTTCCGGAGAAAGTAGTTAGCAACAGTTGCTGGCAGGACTGGGCAACTGTGGCCTTCCCACGCTTGCACGAGTTGATTGTTAGCAAGGCATGTTCAGACTGACACTCGTGGTCGCGCGCTGGGGTTCACCTCGCAAGGCAGTGGACGGCACCGTGAGGCCTGGCAGTCCCTTCTGAGTCCCTTCTGAGTCCCTTCTGAGTCCCTTCGAGTCTCACGTCTTTCCGTACGTGAGGCGACACGCAGATCCGCCGCTGCGGCACTACTTGGCCACGCCTTCGTGTGTTTTGCGGAAAACGACGTGGGAGATTCAATTCACGAATTCCCGGATGCTTATGGCTTAAGTTACTCAAGTTCATGAATTCAACGAATTCATCCGAATTCATTGATTCGGAGGGATATTCATTTCTGTGACCCATGCCACGCGCCAGCCCTTCGCTGGCTTCTCCACACTGATGACGGAGGTCGACGCCTCCGTCTCGTCGGGTCCTCGGGTCCTCGCGAGGCAAAAGCTAAGATGAAAGGCATAGACAAGGCGATTCGAGAGAAGGAAGAGAAGAAGAAGAAGAATAAGGAGAAGGCATAGAAAGGTGAAAAGGAGAAGACAGCTCACAGATTTCCACAGGTCCGCTGAAGTCAGCCGGCTTTGGTGCGGGCACCTGGCAATGACACAGTGAGAAGCAGGTCTTATCAAGGCACGGACTTGAGATGCATACTACTCAAGGTGTGTGCTGGAGAAGGACGATTTCGCAGCAGCAGACTCAACTTGCGGTCGGCATCACGGAAGATTCTTCGGCCGAGGATGAACCTTTGGTGAAGGTGGAAGCGGCCTTCTCAGTCGGAGCCGTGAGCGCCTGGGTTGGCATATGTTGGCATCTCAGGAGGTTCTTCGTTGGATGAAGGTCCCTGCGAAGGCCAGAGGGTTCTCAAGGTTTTCTGGAGAAGCCCTTGCACGACTGAGATGGGAAAGAGGGCTGGAGCGAGTTGAACAAATTGAAATTGATTGAAAGTACTGCGAAGGTCAGGTCCGGCAAAGTGTCTCACCCTGATGCTGGGCTTATAACCTGAGCGTCAGATGCACTCAGTGCAGTTAATGTGCAGACTCCAAAGTATGGGTCAGACCCGCCTCAGGCGGTCAAAAGAGTGTCGTGGAGCCACTCACAATTGACACATCCAGCCATGGCTGGTTTGTTGTTAATCCTTCGACTGTGGACTTGGCCTGTGACTTGGCTATGCATTGCTCCGCTTTGGCTCGTCAGCGCCGGATGCTCTCCCTTCAGGAGAAGTGAGCGAGAGAACAGAGCAGAGCACGCCCCAGATTCCTGCTTTAATGCAGTGCATGAAACACTGTGCAGTGCAGGATGACTTGAGTGCTTGGCTACGGTCTGTGGGCTGCCTAGTCCCTAGTTGGACTGTTGGACCTGCCTTGCTCGGTCAGTCGCGATCAGTCGCGATCAGTCGCGATCAGTCGCGATCAGTCGGTATCAGTCGGGATCAGTCGGCCATTTGCTCAAGCCGCCCGTCTGACTCGGTGCTCCGGGTGCTCCCATGGATCTCGAGTTGGTCATGGCCACCTCCCATGGGCGATCGGCGCGATCAGCGTGCGGCGCAGCTTCTGAAGCGCCGCTCGGCATGGTGAGATGTCGCCGTCAAAGAGGTCAAGGCAAGAAGATGCAAGAAGATGCAAGAAGATGCAAGAAGATGCAAGAAGATGCAAGAAGATGCAAGAAGATGCAAGAAGATGCAAGAAGATGCAAGAAGGCCAGGAACAAGGAACCATGAAAATCATATCAAATCATATCAAATCATTATGAAACTATCACGTTAAGGCAAACAGACCTTGAACTTAGGAACTCCTGCACAAGCAGTGCCGATTTTGCGTGGCCTTCAGCAAGCCAGCGTGGCAAACGTGGTGCACGTGAGCGTTGCAACTTGGCGGATCTAGGGCACCAATTTCTCATAGCATCTCACAGGCAGTACCGGGACTCTGTCACCAGGTGATTTCTTCCATCAAAAGATGCCGGCAGTGGGAAGATGCCCTGCGCCTCCTATGGGATGTCAAAGAAATGACACTGCAGCCAGATCGCATCAACTACAGTGGTGCTATCAATGCCTGCGGAAAGAGCAGCCACCTCATTTGTTGCTCTCAGTGCGAGTTCGCACGAGTCCGGTGTTCATGCAACTTTGTTCTGTTTGGCAGGTTTTGGTGTGATGCTGTCTTTATTTGCATCAAGCGGCCAAGGTTTTGCGTGGAGGGATGTCTTGTGCCTTGCAGCGGAGAAGTCTTTGGAGCCCAACACCATCCTGACCAACTCACTGGTGACAGCAACCTCCAAAGGCTATTGGCAAATGGGTCTTGCCAGGATGCTCGAAATGAGCTGGCAGAGCATTCCGTACAACCAGCACTCTCTGCACAACATGGTGTCACTTGGACATTTTGAAGCTGGAGGGTCTGGGGAAGGGTATGGTAGGTCGAGCACCTGGGAGGCACCGCTAAGCTCGCTGCAGGGAATGCGAAGGTCGCAGCTACAGCCCGACCTGATCACACGGAGTGCCTTTCTGAAGACTCTGGGTCCTTTGGATTGGCAGCTTTCTTTTGCAGCGTGGGTAGACATGCGAAGAGCAGGAATCTCCCCCAACTCGTTGTGCCTCAGCAGCATGCTCTCCAGTGGGAGCTGGCAGGCTGCCCAAAATCTCTACATGGAGTGCAGGAAGTGCTCCATTGCCGACGACATGAGCTACATGAGCTGTGCCCAAGACTGGTCTTGGACTTTGGCTCTTGTGTCCGAGGGAGCCTTCGGCGTCTCGCCGTTGCAGCCCGTGTTGCCGGCCCTTGGATGGCGCTCAGCTCTTGACCTCCTGGCCACCGTGCAGCGAAGATCCTTGAGACTCGCAGACCTCGTGACCCCAGAGGAATGGACCACCACACTGAGCCTTCTGCTGGGAATGCGTGGTTCCTTGGCTTTCCTTGGCTTTCCTTGCCTTTCCCTGCCTTTCTTTGGCCAATGCTTTTGCATACCCAGCTTAGCAGCTTTGGGGGAACCCCAAAAAAAAAACCACACGAGGTGAGGGGCTCCAGGGCGGCACACGGCTGTCTTTGAGTCAAGCTCCTTGGGCACGAGTGCTTGCATGCTTGCCCACGCTTCGCTCCATGGGCTTTTGCATCGGCTCCTTCGCACACGCGCACTGGGCCAAGAGCGCGGCCTTGTTCGAAGAGAGCACCGGAGCCTTCAACGTCGCCTTGGCCCGCGTGGCCGCGCGCGAGGTCTGCGACTGGGCGCGCTCGTTGCAGGCGATGCGCCGTCACAGGCTGGAGCCGGATTCCGTGACCTTCAACACCGTAATGAAAGTCACGAAGTCTGTCTCCGGCAACTTGAAGGACTTCTGGAGCTGCGGCTTGGACCTTTTGGTGCAGATGGCATGTGCTGGGGTCCCCAGCAACGAGTCCTCCTACTCAGCCCTGTTGTCGTCTGAGTGGCAGCTGGGCCTCGTGTTGTGGACTCAGATGCACCGTGTGCATGTGACCGCAGTGGGCTACAGCGCGGTGATCGCTGGCCTGGAGAAGGCCGCCCGTTGGCAAGCGGCACTGCGTTTCGCCGCAACTTCGGACGTCGCGTTGGACGTGGTGGCGTTGAGCGCGTGCGTCAGTGCCTGTGAGAAGGCTAGCGAGTGGCAGCAGGCCTTGTGCCTGCTGGAGTCCTCGCAAGATCGGCGCGTGATCCGGGACGTGATCCTGTACAATGCCGCCGCCAGCGCGCTGGAGAAGGGCTCCGCTTGGGCCTTGGCTTTGCACCTCCTGCGGTGCATGAGCTTGGAGTCCTTGACGCCTGACGAGATGACATATTCCGCGCTCATCAGTGCCTGCGAGTGGCGAGATGCCTTAGCCCTTTTGAACCAGGCGACCGCAGCTGATGCAGCCGATGCGGCCTGCTGCAATGCCGCCTTGAGTGCCTGCAGTCGGTGCAGCCAGTGGCAGCTGGCTTTGGTCTTGTTGCAGCAGCTGGAGGCGAAGGGCACGGCCACGGAGACCAGCTACAATGCCGCCATCGGCGCCTGCTATGCGGAGTTGAAAGCCAAAGCAAGCAGAAAGGTCATGCAAGGTCATGAAAGGTTCAAAAGACTGGTGGCTGCGCTTCACTCTGTTGCCATTCATGGCCCCCTGGCCTTCTTTGCAATGTGCACCCAGGTCAGGGCGATGTGGTCCTGGACTCGCGCGGCGCCGTGTGAACCCGCCAAGCACTGGATCCCTGAGGCCATGGAGAACTTAGATCCTGCCAGCATCGAGACCCAGCAGGCGGTGGTTTCAGAGATCTTCAGGCTGGACCGTTTCACGTTGCGTCGTTACTTTGGGCTTTGGGTTCTCATCAGCTTTTCGACAGGGAGTGTCTTGAAGGGCGGGAATCATCGTAGGACGTCCATCCTTGGGGCATGAGTTTGCCTTTCTGCAAGATGGGCCGGTGAGTGTGCATGTCATGCCAGGTTCGCAGCGGTGCAGGAGAAGGACCTGACTTTGGGGCTGCTGTTGAAGGCGACGCTCGGGCTGCGCAGCGCGCTGATTCGCTATGTTTGAGGCTTATGACGTGACCGTCGAGAAGCATGGGATTCATGCTCAGAACTCAACTTGCAGATTCCGCAGTCATTCCATCGCAAATTTGCACCCTCACCAGCACAATTTGCTGCAGCCCTTTCAGCCAGCCATGTAGCCCCAACGCAGAAGCGGCTCATGCCGCAGACACTGGACAGGTGGGCATGCCTGGATCCCAAACAAGTCACAGCAGCTCTTGGGCAAGTTGCCAGAGATGGTGCCGAAGGGGCGCTGGAGGTGGGCTGTGAACTTTGCAAGGCTGTTGTCGTTGCCTCTTCTTGAGCGGACCCTGCAAGGTGTTCCATCTCATGCAGCCTGTCTGAACATGGAGAGACCCAGCTGCTCGGCCGCTCAGCCTTTGTTGGCCGAGGCTCGCCGGCCGAGTGGAGGTGAACATCATCCACTTCAACGTGGTTGTGTCGGCCTTCGGCCGGGAGGCGCGGTGGCAGCGCGCGCAGCAGCTGGTAAAGCTCGGGCTGGGCGGGCCAGGCGGCACGGGCCTCAGCGTGGTGAGCTGCAACGCAGTGGCCACCGCGGCTGGGCGCGCTGCCGCGTGGCCGGCGGCGCTGCAGCTGCTGACGCGGCTCAGCGACCTCACCCTGCAGCCCACAGCCGTGAGCTACAACGCTGGCAACGCTGGCAACGCTGGCCACTGGCGCCAGGAGTCGACGGCAAAAGGGCCTTTCTGGGGCAAGAGCTCGGTCGATGCATTCGTCGATTCGTCGATTTCAGTGTAAACTCTTGAAGTGTTCAATGCTTGGTGCTTGGTCGCAAAGGCCCTGGACATGCTGCGGGCTATGGGGCCGCTGCGTGACAAGGCCAGCCTCAGCCTCGCCATCAAGGCCTGCGGCCTCGAGGCCTGGCAGACAGCCCTAGCCACCCTGACGGCCTGTGCCTGTGATGCCTGTGATGCTGACGTGGTCACCTACAGCGCCATCATCAGCTGTGGCTGGCACATGGCATCCGCACTGCTGCTTCGCATGTCTGCTGCGAGGAAGCCTCCAAATAGAATCACCTTTGGCGAGGCCATCAGTGCCTGTGAAAGGGCCAGTCAGTGGTCATGGGCCATCCACTTTCTGGACCAGATGAGAAGCTTCCACGTGCGTCCTAACCAAGTCACCTGCAGTGCCGCTATCAGTGCCTGTGAGAAATCAAGTCACTGGCAGGCCGCCCTGCTGCTATTTTCATCGTTCGCGCGTCTCAGAGTTGAGCCGGACTCCAGAAGCTACAACCCCCTCATCGCCGCTGCTAATGGCATGTGGCAATTGGCATGGCACCTATTCAGTGAGATGCCCAAATTCCTCCTCAGCCCAGACTCCTTCACATACACAGCAGCAATCAACGCCACGTCTCAATGGCAGCTTGCCGCATTGCAGATGTCTGTCCTGGATACCAGTGCCACGCATCCACGGAATGCTGCTGTTGCCGTGTATGGCAAAGCAGGCCGCTGGGAGATTGCACTCGGCGTCTCTACAGAGAGGCCTGATTGTTCATTGGAGGGCTATTTATTTTAGAATTGTTTTTTAAAGTGTTTTTTTTGCGCTTTTGGCTTCTTGGCTTCTTGGCTTTTTGGCTTCTTGGCTTCTTGGCTTCTTGGCTTCTTGGCTCCTTGGCTTCTTGGCTTCTTGGCTTTTTGCGGCTTTTTGCGGCTTTTCGCTGGTTTATGCGGCTTTTGGCGGCTTTTGGCGGCTTTGGCTTTTCGCATCCTTCAGGCTTTTTGGCTTTTGCGCCCTTTCATTCGTTTTCGGATTTGGCTTCCCGCATCATCAGCATCACCACCACCCTTTTTGAATCATCACTTCTTCGAACATCATGAACCCACCCGCTACTGTTTAGATTGTTTGCAGAGTAATTGCACCCCTATTTGAATCAGCTCTTCTTCAAACATCATGGGGGGGTTGCCGCCTGCCCCCCCGTTACTTTTTAGATTTCTTGCAGAGATTGAATTGCACCCTGTTTGAATCATCACTTTTTCGAGCGTCCAATTTTGCGAGAAAATGCTGCAAAATACAACATTTTAGGTAATCTGTGTAATCCATGTATGTCTGTATGTATGCATTTCTTCAAACATCATAGGGGAAGCCACCCCCGCCAACCCTCCCGCTGCCTGTTAAATTCTATCGCACCCTTTCTTGAGTCATTGCACCCCTACTTGAATCATCACTTCTTCCGACATCATGGGGGGGCCGCCGCCCGCCCAACCCCCCCGCTACGTTATAGATTTTCTACAGAGATTTAATTGCACCCCTAGTTGAATCATCAATTCTTCGAACATCAGGCTGCCGCCGCCCCCAACCCCCCCGCTAGTTTTTAGACTTTTTGCAGAGATTTAATTGCACCCCTATTCGAATCATCACTTCTGCGACCATCATGGGGGGGGGCTGCCGCCCCCCCAAACCCCGGCCCCCTGTGTTTGGTTTGTTACACCATTGGTCTCCTGCAACCATTTGGCTTAAGGCCCTCTTGTATATAGCATATTGCATTCATGCGATAGCAGTACAAAGGCTTGCAGAGACCGCTAGCAGGCACCAGGGACAATCCATCCTCCAATCATCCATATTGGCATATTGGACTCTCTCCGGAATAGATCCAGGGACCAAATCAACGACCTCTACTACCACAGGGCACCAGTTCCCTTTTGGGATCGGCACCTGTGGGCCTGAATTTGTCGTAGCGGAGCCTGGTTTTCTGCAGAGATCCAAGGGAAGATGTCATCCGATGGAGAAGGCTTCATGGAAGCCTATTCAAGTATGGCCAAACCACAAGGCTATACGGAGGAAACACTCAATTTATCGATGACCGCCAAGCAGCCGCCATCGTACGACGCAAAAGTCAGCTGGTTCAGGTATGAAGAACTCGTGGACGACTGGGTGACAATCACTACGGTGGAAGCACCCAAGAGAGGACCACTACTCAAAAGCAGACTCACCGGAGATGAATATGTATAAGGCAGTCCTCCAAAATGACTTTTTGCAAGATCGTAAGGAGTCAACTACTTCAAGAACACGCTGAAGAAGTACTTTTTGAAAGGTGCGACCAACGTGTATCTGTACAGGCTCCTCGGTTTCTTACAATCATAGAAGGCAGAACCAAGAGTTCCTCATTTTTACATCAAAATTCGAAATCCTTCTCATGAGATTGAAGGCAGCATGGATGGACTTGATGCCAGTTTTCACGGCACAGTCCTCATCATTTCGACAGTCCGTACAGGACGCAAATGCAAGAACAATTGCTCGACATCAGCAAGCAGCCGGTGTTCGAGCGCCGCCTCCAGTCCTGCTCAATGAGGAAGATCCAACAGTCCTCAGACAGTGTATCACGGGAATGCAGGACAGACAGCGGGACGCATTTCCCTTCGGGGATAATCTCATTGCACAGTTTTTCATCATTCAGAGTGAATTGTCAGATCAACAAAGAGAGAGACTGACAAGTGCAATGTCATTGAGAAACATCTCACTAGAGAACTGCTCCTATGAGATGCTGAAGACACTACCATGAACTCTTCATCACGACCAGGACATCCATTCAAGATCCATCCATCCGACCTCAAGGAGGCAACCGAAGCAACACATTCTTCATCATCGAACAAGGTGAATATGAAGGAGAAGAAGGCTTTTGGGTTGAGGATGAAGAAGGACTTGAAGGGTTCATGTCAAACAACGGTGAGGAGACATTCTGGGTCCTTGAGGAGAACGATGCGTTCATCGCAAGAAAAGTGTCAGGGCGGAATTTCAGATTCAAGAAGAGAAAAGGAAAAGGAAAATCAGGAAACAAAAAGGGCAGTCACCAACGAGGTGGCTTTAAACCCTTCAGAAAAAGCGGTTCTGGCGGGAAGGCCAATATGGCAAATGAGAACTATGATCCCTACGACCAGGCATATTGGGGAAAAGGCAAAGGAAAGAAGGGAAAAAAGGAAAATCAAAATTCCAATATCCCTATGATGGAAACAAAGGTTATCCATCTTATGAGAATGGCAAAGGAAAGGGCGGACATGACAAAGGAAAATCCAAGACGTTCGCAGCCACCGCAGAAAAGACGGAGGAGCAGCCCGCCATAGCAGACTGCACCATCCATAGAGCCTACCTATGCCGGTTGGACAGACCAAGATTGGGATCAATCATGGGCATGGAACGAACAAGGCTGGTACTCATCCCATGAAACATCCAGCACAGGACAAGCGCTAATGGCATTCCATGACGCATATGAGCATCATGAGAAAGAGGCCGTCCACGGGAAGCTGATCCAATCAGATGCAGTTTCAGAACACAATTTGTCCGTCGCAACAAATCACAGCCTTTTGGAACCAAGCTGATGGCGCCTGTCATCAACCCTCAGCGCAATCCGACCTATGCGATCCTGGACAACGGATGTACCAGATCCACGGGCAGCTGGCATGCGATCCAGCGTTTGACTCAGGCCATCGAACCAATGAAGGACATCATCTCCTATCAGTACATCCCGGCCGAGACCAAGTTCACTTTTGCAAATGGAGAAACAGCCAGGGTAAATTGGACCCTGCATCTTCGATATCACACAACTCCTCCACGCAGCACCAACATCGACATCCTTGAACAAGGAACTGTACCGATCCTCCTCAGCATCAGTCAGATGCGGAACCTCGACATGACCATAGAGCACACACATCAATGTGACAAAATCACATGAAAGGCTTTTGGTATGAAAAGGGAAGCAGTTCCGGTATCCGGTACAGGACATTGCACTCGTCGATCTCGCTGGAGTTGCAAGAGTGAAGGCACATGGAGAAATTGCTCATAAGGGCCTCACCAACTACGTCTATGATGATGATAACAGCATCAAGCAGCTCATCCGTGTGCGCATCACGCCTCGAAAGGCACTGTTCACACCAAATGGAGCCAAGGAATGTCCAATCAATCCTGATAACATCAGCCGAGAGCGTACTACGGAAATCATTGATGCATCCGAAGGTGGAGATCCAGACATCCTAGAAGACAATTGGAGACTTACATCCCAAGCAAACAAACCAATGATTAACCTGTGAAT